TACGAACAATCACCCTTAAGCTACATAATCTTTACTCCCTGGAATGGAGATAAGAAACGCCCTAACCTTTGGAATAGAAATTGACAGGATTAAAATCAACTGGTATAAATACAGATGTAACAAGACAATAAACACCAGAACTTGGCTGGAGAACCTAGACAGAACTTGGCTGGAGATCCTGGCTAGGCTGCTGATCAACTGAACGCTGTCTCCATGTCATTCCTTCTTCGCCGACTCCATCCACACCTTTGGGAACCCCTGGACCTGCTGGAGTTGGACCCCAACATCTGAGCTACCAAGGACAGTAGTCCTCCAGCTACATTGATTGGCTGCAGGTGGGCAGTGGAGCTCCTCTAGGCACCTACCTCTGTAGCTAAGGACCTCACAGGACACCAGGGGCTGACCTTAATTGACAAAGAGAAATGGCAGGTGAAGGAGCTGTGGCAAAACTCCAGACAGAAATCAACTGTCCCATCTGCCTGGATATCCTGAGAGACCCTGTCACCATCGAATGTGGGCACAACTTCTGTCGTTCCTGCATCGAGAGGTCCTGGGCTGATGTGCAGGACAGGTTCCCTTGCCCTGTGTGCCGTCACCCATGCAAAGAGAGGCACCTGTGGAGCAACACCCAGCTGGGAAGGATGGTTGACATGGCCAAGAACCTCCAGATCATAGTGGCCAAGGTGAAGCAGCAGGAAGAGAGGCGCTTGTGTGAGAAGCACAACCAGGCCCTGACCCTCTTCTGTGAGGAGGACCTAAAGTTGTTGTGTCCCCTGTGCACTCAGCCCCCTGACCACCAGGGCCACCACGTGAGGCCCGTGGAGGAGGCTGCCTCTCATCACAGGCAAAAGCTCAGAAGTTACATTGAGCCCCTGAAGAAGCAGCTGGCAGACCTTCAGAAACTATTAGCCACTCAAGACAGGCAACGATCAGAACTGAGAGAAAAGGTGGAAAAGCGGAGAGCGAAGTTAGCCTCTGAATATGGGAGTGTGATAGCATCCATAGAGTGTGAGCAAGCGGCAGTTCACTCAAGGCTAGCTGCACAAGAGAAGCACATTCTACAGAATCTCACTGCAAACAAAGCTGCATTTTCAGACCACATTTCCAAACTTAGAATTCTACGAAAGGAGATGGCAGAGACGAGTGTGCTGTCAGATGTGAAATTGCTGATGAACATCAAGGGTGTCCTCCCCCGTTGTGATAACCTAGAACCTCCAGATGTCTATTGCGTCAAGTATAAGAGAGAAGAATTCAGTCTTCCTCCACAGTGTTCGGCCCTGCTGCAAATCATGCAGACTTTTAGAGAAGAAGTTACTTTGGATCCCGAAACTGCACATGCTAATCTGCTTGTGTCTGAGGATAAAAAGTCTGTGACATTTGTGAGGAAAAAGCAAGGAGTTCATCGGAATCCAAAGGGATTTGCAGACGACGCAGTTGTCCTGGGTTCTGAAGGGTTTGACTGTGGCCGACATTACTGGGAGGTCCAGGTGGATGACAAGCCTGAGTGGGCCGTGGGGGTCTGTAAAGATTCCCTTTCCAAGGAGAGAAAGCAGCCCCTGCTCAGACAGGAGGACAGATGTTGGACGATTCAGCTGCAGGATGGTGACTATGTGGCTCAAGGGCCTGTTCCTGTCACCCTTGTGCTGCAGGAAATGCCCAGAGGGATTGGCATCTACCTGGACTATGAGATGGGTCACGTTTCCTTTTACAGTTTGAATGACATGTCTCACATCCATTCCTTCAGGGATACATTTTCTGAGGTGCTAAAGCCTTACTTCTATGTCGGATGTGATCCCAAACCTCTTACCATCCGTGCTTTAAGAGATTAGGAAGGATGAACTGTTACTTTGGTTCATTTTCTTCCTGTGACTTCTAGGCAGTAGGTAGAATTTTTTAAATTATAATTTTATTGTTTTCCCCTGAAGTTAGGGAGGGAATAAAACCCCTTAACTAAATGCCTGGCGGGTAGTTAATCACTTTAACTACGAACAATCTCCCTTAAGCTACATAATCTTTACTCCCTGGAATGGAGATAAGAAACGCCCTAACCTTGGGAATAGAAATTGACAGGATTAAAATCAACTGGTATAAATACTGATGTAACAAGACAATAAAAGACAGAACTTGACTGGAGATCCTGGCTAGGCTGCTGATCAACTGAACGCTGTCTCCGTGTCATTCCTTCTTCGCCCCTCTGTCCACACCTTTGGGGACCCCTGGACCTGCTGGGGTTAGACCCCAGCAGAAAATAATCATCAACGCAACATCTGCATGCTTTGGATGATGTCTTTAATTTTTGTGATTCACCTATAGATGCAATATTACTTTGGATTTTAGCACTTGGGAGGGAGGGACAACTTCAGAAGCTTTAACAGCCCTATTCATGGGAGAGGGAGCAAGGGAGGATTTTGCCAATTGCTTAAGAGAAGGATTCCAGTTATGTACTCAGAAAAATAACCACAAGACTGGACCACCTAGAGGCAGACTCAGATCAAAATTCAATTTATGACCTGAAGTACAATTTGCTGTTCTGAGAACACCAACAGTGGTATCTGAGCTTCTGGGAATGAGGGACCTCAGAATCAGTGTTTTACAATATCCCAAAACTCCAGTTATTTCCCTTTCCCCATGTAGTTTTGCCATGTGGAATTTTACACCTCCTTTGTATTCTATTCACATATAGATAATACCTGGCATGAAACGTCTGTGTAGCCAGATTCTAGGATGTGTTTGAATCAGCAGGACCTGAAACGCAAACAGTCTATTTTTGTCACAAAGCCAAAACACTTTGGAAACTAAAAATGTTTACGTGAATGTCGACCCCTAAAAGCACGTTATCCTTAGAATGTAATGTGCTTTCCTTATTGCTTGCTACATCACTGGAATGCTTTATCCAAAACAAACAACAAAATAACCCCATTGCCCAGCCATTCTAAAGAAACCCAGAACAAAGGGTAGGCTAACCAGATGAAGGGCTATATATCTGCCATACACAATAAATGACCACTGATCCTTTGGCAAAGGCTGGGAAGGAGATATATTCCACACACAAGGGATATCATTGCACAATCCAGCATCAAGGAATTCTTGATTACAGAACTAACATCTGATAATTATATGAGAATGAGCGACTCCCTGTAATGGTGTCAGACCCATGCTTTCCAGTTGTGCAGTGTTTTCCATAACACAAATGAAGAAGGACTAATGTTCTATCACCTATCTCAGTTAAGGGACCCTATGATCAGCCCATCATTACCAAAGATTCCTGCAATGCAGAACGTGCTGACTGGCGAGTGTGCCCCTGCTGTTTACAGCAACACCAATTATTTTTGCCTCTTGCCTTTCAATGCTACCACTTGGCCTCTACTGCTCTACATTAATAGTTTCCTCCTCGTTTCCATCAGGCAAACCATTTCCACTGGAGCATCTGCCTCTAACATCGTCAGCCCACAAAGAACAATAGCACAGAGTCTTTTCAAAACTGCTACCTTTCCCCTCACCAATACATTTCTTAGGAACACGCTAATGACCTAGGTGTCCTGGGAGGTAAATTAGGTGGAAATGATTTGTATGTGATAATACCACCCAGAGTACTTGCTACACTTCTCTGTGTTATTTAAAGGATTTTTGGAATCTCAATGTCACTATTTAGAATATAGTCAAGCCAAGAATCAGACCCACTCCAGCCAGCTCAGAATGATACAGGTATCACTTTGAAAAATCATCCAAGGTCAGTCATTACTTTACTTATCTAAGGTCAGTCATTCTTATTAGTCATCGTTCTTACATAGAGCCCCAAGTTTTGTCATCATAAAATAAAAGGAAAAACTTCCCCACCCAGCTTTTACAATGCAATTGATTCTCTTAGGACAGGCCGGCTTCTGACCAGTGGTTAGAAATCAGGAGACAATGGTAGGTTTGTGGGCTCCAAATGGTGACTTGCTCTCCCTTGCAAAATTAGTCCCTGAGAAAAAGGAATAGTCTCTAAGCAAGAAGAGACCACCCCAAACAAGGAAGGAAATACATCTGAAATCCCAACACAAAGATGTGCTAGCAAGTGTTTAACAATTCACTCTTTTTTTTTTTAAAGATATGTTTATTGATTTTTAGAGAGAGAGGGAGGAAGAGGGAGAAACATCAATGTGAGAGTGAAACACATCCCTCACCAGGGATCAAGCCTACAACCTGGTTATGTGCCCTGACCAGGAATCCAATGTTGACTTTAAGAGACCAACATGACATCACTGAACACAGAGTTGGGAAGAAATAAGTGCAGGTGGGACTCTCATAAGGCATCAAGAGCCAGCACACCACTGCAGGGAGCGGGGATGGAGAGAAGAGGGGATGTGAGGTTGGAGGTCAGGGGGTTGCAAGTCTTTACAATCCACTCACATGCTCAAATTCTGGTGCTTAGGATCCTACATTTTTCTGATCAGTACTCGCACTTTCACATAAAAAGAACAGCAAGACTTTAAAGTTAATTGATATTATAATTCAGCAACCATATCAAACCCTGAGTTTCATTTCAAGTACATGAAAGTTGAAAGAAGCTGAGAGAATTAAGAGACTCTTTAAGCATTGTTAGCGTTCCTGAGGTCCAGTCTGTGTCACAATCAAGAATTAGAGAAGAAAAACTTATCACTTGCCTTTGTCAGCTATTCGATGCTCTCAAAACATCCCAGTATCCCTATCGTCTTTTATTTTATCTGGTAATGACACTGGCCACTTGGTTCCCCGAAGCCTTACCTTGAATAGGCATTTCATTCCAAGGAAGCCTTTCATTCCAGAGATCAGAGGCTGCGTTTAATTAGCTCGCTCACCACAACTTGTGACGGGCTGCCTGAGTCCGGTCCCTGAAGACAAATGGGATTTCATTGTTTTCAGCCCCACTCTGAGAATCAGCCCACATCCTCACGCCTAGCCCCGCTTTCTCAGACTCAATTACATTAAACCCAATCCCAAGTACCATTTTCTGTATCCATGCAGTCTTTAACTCAAAGGAACATAAACCAAATGTATTTTAATTAAGGGATGAAAGACACATATGGCAAGAATATTGGTCAGCTCACAGAATTATGTGAAACTTGGAAAATCAGACTCGGAAAGTAGGAAGGAACCAAAAGCAATTAGTCAACTGGTAACAGTGCAGAGAAAACATCTAGTGTGGGACACCCAGGATGCATTAGCTACCATCACCGCTGTCCCCTGTGAATAATTTCTCCTCTGTGCCCAGGTAGGACAGCTGACTGCTAAGGCTCATGCCTGGCCCTGCCGCCTGGTGTAGAAAGATGGGACATCTGACCTCTTCATCCTTGCACGTGAACTCCTGCCTCCTGCTAATGTGGAAACCTGAGGATTGACTGCTAGCAGAAAGAGTGCTCAGATGCTGAATAGTCTGTAACTCTGACCATTGTACTCACTAAGTAGGAATGGTGCACTCTCAGAGCTCAGTTTCAAAGAACGGGGAAGCAGGAAATGAGATGGAAATAAAGAGAAGAGGAAATGGCCCTAGCTGGTTTGACTCAGTGGATAAAGTGTAGGACTGCGGACTGAAGGATCATGTGTTCAATTCCGGTCAAGGGCATATGCATCTGTTGTGGCCTACTCGGGAGGGAACCAATTGATGTTTCTTTCTCTCTGTCTCTCCCTCTCTATTCCCTCTAAAAATCAATGTAAATATGTCCTTGGGTGAGGATTAACAAAAGAGAGAGGGTGGGGGGCGGGGAGAGACAGAAGAGGAAATGAGGAGGAAAGGTGGCAGGAATCTTTGTAGGAATAGCAGAGAGCAGTTCGATGGGCACAGCACTTTTGGAAGTGATGCTGTTGCTTTTCCTTTTTAAGGGGTAAATATAAGTACGTCAGAGGATGCATTGAAGGGGAGGGGCTGGATATTTCAGTAATTGATGAAATAATGGAAAAATGTACTGGATAGGGTAACATTAACAACACACGTGTTTGCGTTAACTTTGTAAAGGAGGCAGGTCACTTTCTCCCTAAAATCGGAGGAAAGAGGAGAATGAATGAAGGCAGTGAATTGGGAGCTGGAGGGGGCAGGTGGCAGTTGTTTATTAAAGGAGTTCTCTCAGACAGCCTTGTTCTTTTTACATGACTTGGAGATAAAGGCCATGTTTAATGTTGAAGGCATGAGGCAGGGTCAGGGCCCTGGGTGAGTGGGAAAGCTTTAGAAAAGCTACCATGAAAAGTCACAGCGAACTAGGTGTGACTAGAGGATCGATTGGTGGAACTGAGGACCACTTCCTATCTGAGTGCCTAAAAAGCTGCTCCATCATAGTCACTGAAGTTGGGCTGATAGATCTTTCCATTAGGAAAAAAAAGTATATACTAAACCCAGCTTCGCCAGCCCTAGTAACAGCCTTCAGTGTGATTATACAAACAGCAGATGCAGAAGATTTTAGCCACACACCCACACACACAAAACTCACAAATACCTAGTTATAGGAAGCAGAACAAAATACTGCGAGAGGATGAAATGATAGTGACAGATGGTAAACAAGGACCCCATTTCAGCGTCTGGGAAGCTTCATCTTTGGCTTTGCGGTGTCTTTCATGGCTATGTAAAGGAACTGGAATTTAACCGCCCATTAAGAGTACAGACCAGGCCTTAGATGCATCTTAATCTTCTGAGGTTTGTTCCTTTTCCACAGAATGTTCCAGATGCATTCTGTAATGACACTCTATCAAGCCACTAAGATCGACTGCCAAAGTCCAATCTGCTACAGGAATCTTGCGAGAAGAAAGGGATGTTTCATCGGCGGCAGGCATTCATCCTAGCCCACACCTCGCCTGCTTCTGATCTTCCACTGTTAAAAACGTAGCACGCCGGAGCAAGATTGTGCTATATTTCATGAGTGTTCTGGGCCGCCACCAAGGGACAGTTCCATCTGTTATTTGCTCTCGGCTTTGCTTACTGATAAAACAGGAAGGACAGCTTGCTGATGGGCTCCGGGAAGCAAACGGCTCCTCTCTTTCCTGCAATTAATGTTCATAAATTATTTCTACAGTAGACAGTATGGATGGTACCATGATTTCAAAATTAGTTTCAATAAATTAAGGGCCTGCATTCATTACCAAAGGAGATCGATTTGCAAGGCAACTTGGGGAGTTTAGCATCGCCAGCTACCTTTTGTGACAACTGCTGTCATTAACTCTGTGGCTTATCAGATCTTAAGATCATATGTTCAGTTGCTGAAATTTCATTTTATGGATAGTATACGAAAGAGTTTTAGTTGTTCACAGCAACAGGATTCGGGGTACTTCAAAGTTTCTGAGACGAGGTTAATAGCCCTTTGGCCATAGGAAAGGGAAATGGATGATGACAGCAAAATGCAAAAATCACTAAGTGATTTCTTTTTCCCCCAAAATTATTCTGTTGTTGCAATCATGCAACATTCATCGGATAGAGAAATCAGTGTATTTTCTGGCCTCTGCACTATTTTAAAAGGGATTTCCAAGAACCTAGAATATGAATTGCTTTTTCTCAATTTCTTTTATCTCAAGTTGTTATGTTTTCTTTATTTCATTGGTTCAATATCTATGACCAATTGGCTATGCTTCCTTTATAAATGAAATATTTCCCATGATCTATAATAGTATGTCTTCTAGGAAATAGTGACTAGGACATTTATATCAGGCTTGATACTTTCAAAGTTTTAGACTAGGGATTTTAACTTTCCTAGCAACACCTATCAGTTCAAAGTACAAACAACAACAACAACGACGAAATGGAATCATGATTTCTTAAGACTACAGCAGTGATTCCCAAAGTGGGCGCTACCGCCCCCTGGTGGGCGCTGCAGCGATCCAGGGGGGGCGGTGATGGCCACAGGTGCATTTGTTTTAACTTTTTTTGTATTACCTTTCTATTCTGAGTTCAATAAATAGTTTCATAATTTCAAACTTCAATGTTTCTAATTTACACCTTTCTTTACTATATGTTACGAAAAAGGTAGAAACATTAATACATATATCTTTCTGTTTAATTGCTATTAAAATTTAAAAAAAATTAATTTCCAGGGGGCGCTGAGTAATATTTTTTCTGGAAACGGGGCGGTAGGCCAAATAAGTTTGGGAACCACTGGACTACAGGTTGGGAAGAAGCCTTGGAGCAAGGCAAGCGTCGTTAAAAGGCCCGGGAAAGCCCAGGGAGGCTGCCTTCTCTTCATCCTGTGTGAGACCAGTTGAGAACCAGGTCTCCTGCAAGGAGGGGGTATCAAGGTGAGGTAGGAATACAAGATTGCTGGTTAACTGAAATAACGCAGTACAGGCTAATAATAGAAAAAGGAAAGAAAGAATTACTGGACCATGAAGAAAGAAAAAGGTATGAATCACCCCCATACCATTAACAGGATATATTTAGGAGAAGCAACTTTATAAAAATACAGACCAGTGGCATGGCACACTCTGTAATCATTTCATTTCATGTTATTGTTTATTTTTTTAGTTTTGACATATCCTATCTAATGGCTCAAATTCTGCTGCTTCCCTAATATATAAAAGTAAATATTGTCTACTCAGAATACTTGATGCCTCCTTATTTTATTGACAAATCTGTACATTGGAGAATTAAACAGAAATAAAACTCATTAAATATTAAGTAAAATACAGATTCATGGTCCTTCAATGTTTGCATCCTAATGTACTAAATACACTATGTGAGTGGCCATGAACCAACTCACTAATTCTCTCCTATTTTACTATTAATTTGGTTGCATGAGGCTACACCGTACCACTGGATAAACATTTAGGAAGAAAAGTTGCCTACCTAGCTGAAATGTCACAAACTAGTTAATCCATTTTGGCCCTCAATTGCCACTTTAAGCCAGCTCAATACTAGTGCAAAATCTGCAGCCAATTTGGAACGGATACTCACTCCTGGCAAAGTCATTTACAATCCAAAGAACTGTCACATTTCTCCATTAGGAAGGCAAGAGTCTGAAGATCAAAACTTTTTAAATTAGAATCTCCATCCTAAACAAACCCTCTCATTTCTTATCATTATGAATACAATTACTCTTTCTTTACAAAATTATTTTTTTGTTAATCCTCACCCAAGGGTATTTTTCCCATTGATTTTGTTTGTTTGTTTGTTTTAGAGAGAGTGGAAGGGAGGGGAAGAGCAAAGCACCCATGTGAGACACATCAATTGGTTGCCTCCCACATGAGCCCCAACTGGATGAATCGAGCCTGCAACCTAGGTATGTGCCCTTTACCGGGAATCGAACTTGTGACCCTTCAGTGTCTGGGCTGATGCTCTAACTACTGAACAACACCTACTAGGGCATTCCTTAAAAATTCTCTTAAAATATTGGCTGGTGATGCCTGGCCAGTGTGGCTCAGTGGTTGAGAGTCGACCTATGAACCAGGAGGTTATGGTTCAATTCCCGGTCAAGGACACATGCCCTGCCCGGGTTGTGGGCTCGATCTCCAGTGGCGGGGTGGGGGTTTCGGGAGGCAGCCAGTCAATGATTCTCTCTCCTCATTGATGTTTCTATCTCTATCTCCCTCTCCCTTTCTCTCTGAAATCAATAAAAATATATTTTAAAAAATATTGGCTAATGGAGTACAGTGGCATAGCATTTTTTTAAGGAAAAAATATAACAAATACTAACAATATGCAGTAAAATGTAAGACCACAATTCCTGTCTTACAAACATTTACAACATAAAATGATAATACTTAGTCTAATAATCCCCCTCCAAAGGTATAGGTATTATTGTTATCACTGTATTGCTGCCATTATTGTCTTTATTAAAACCTCTTGCCTTGGAAGGGATGATGGTGAATGTGAGTAAAAAAGTCTGTAGGTTAAATGCATATATTATGTGTCTATTGTGCACTCGATTAACATAAAAATAGTTAACATTCCTAGAGAGTTTACTGTGATCCAAACACTATGCTTAGAGGTTGTATAATCCTGGCTTCAGGCTTGTAAAGGAGGCATTGCCAACCCTGTTTTAAAAATAAGCAGACTGAGTTCAGAGAGGTGAATGACATGCTCTTGGTTGCATCTCTAAGAAGTGGTGTGGACAAAATTTAAACCCAGGCTCAACTAACGCTAACGTTTGCATTCTTATGGACTGTTTCTGAGAGTTTACATTTGATGCATTCTAGCCATGGAAGTTTTAGTAGGAAAAAAATCTCAGTCTCTAGGAGCTGAAATGTATGAACTGTTACATATGACAATATCTGTCAGTAAAAGGAACATAATTTAAACCTGAGACTAAAGTCCATGTCCTAGTTCTCATTTCAAAAATGATTAAATATATTCTTTCCCTGCTGGACTATCACCAGAGTGGCATATGATATGCCTGGAATCTACCATATAGTCCCAAATGGCCAGAGGGCAAAAGCTACTTTCATGCCATTCATTTCTAAGCTAAAGCTGAAAGGCCAAAAAATCACAGGTGTAATTCGCTCTGGTGAGATTTTTCAGTTCAATTTCATTCTCCCTTGAGGTTCAAACAAACTTCAGATAATCATCTTGAACTTGGTGATGAACCAAACTCAGATTCAGGCTATAGCTTCTAAGAGGGCCAGCCCTTTCATTTAAAATAAGGCAGAGCTTAAAGTGACAAGCCAAATGGGGTCAGATGTTCAATACTTGGCAAAACCCCAGCTGTCGCACTGAAACAATGCTGACAACATGGCAGGCTTTAAAACACATTCCCCGGGGAGGCGATTGATGTTATTCTCACTTTCCCTTGTGTCGCCTGTCCAGCCTCGCTGCTTTCTGGAGCATGTGCCAATCACGGACAGCACATACTAGGAACGGCAAGGACCGCACAACATGCTACGCTTATTCCAGCATCAGGAGCTGGTCCGTGTATATAGGGGGGCTTCCTGGGCTCCCCGACACAAGATGAAGCATGCTGCTCACACACCTTCCCAAGCAATCAGAAGGCAGCCAAAGCCACCACAGACCTCTCTCCAGAGCTTAACCCTTTCCAGTCAATGTCATTGAATAAAGTGGGAGCCTAACATCATGGATGCTTCCTCTAGACCAGTGGTTCTCAACCTGTGGGTCGCGACCCCTTTGGCGGTGGAACGAACCTTTCACAGGGGTTGCCTAAGACCATCCTGCATATCAGATATTTACATTACAATTCATAACAGTAGCAACATTACAGTTATGAAGTAGCAACGAAAATAATTTCATGGTTGGGTCACAACATAAGGAACTGTATTTAAAGTGCCAGAAGGTTGAGAACCACTGCTCTAGACAATCCATTTCAGCCACTGCTCTGAGAACGTAGATTAAGTTCAGTTAGGCAGCATTCATCCAACTTTCTGATAAACAAGAAGCTAGCTTCCCAACATTGAGATAAACACCATGTAAGGGTTAGAAATATGGATCCATTAACTGTTTGTGTAGTGCCAGGTCTCTGTAGTAAACTAACTTGGACTGCTTCAAGTATATCCTACAGGTTTAGCCCAAATCATGCTAATAGATAAGCTTTGAGTTTCATGAGCTTTCAGGTGTATGTACCATAATCAAGTATAGATAGAAAGCTAGCCACACTGTGAGGAGAATTAACTTTTTTTAAATATATATCTTATTGATTTTTTACAGAGAGGAAGGAAGAGGGATAGAGAGCTAGAAACATCGATGAGAGAGAAACATCAATCAGCTGCCTCCTGCACACCCCCTACTGGGGATGTGCCCACAACCAAGGTACATGCCCTTGACCGGAATCGAACCTGGGACCCTTCAGTCCAAAGGCCAACGCTCTATCCACTGAGCCAAACCGGTCAGGGTGAGAATTAACTTTTGATGCATTTTTCTTCTCTTCAGAACTAATTGATTATTCTGAAGACATAAAAAAATTAGAGAATAATGCCAATAAATAGATTTGATTTAAGGTGAGATTGCTTTGAGTGGCTCACATTGTTTTTGCCTTTAGGGTCTAACTAACAAATAATTGCCAACCCATGAATGTTTCAGTTATAAGATTCTGAAGTTGGTACATACA